GAAGTGTAACCAGCCCCGCCGACGGGTACACAAGGTGAGCCCTCAGCAACCCCATGGTTATCGGAGTACCCCCTGCGTCAGTCGGCAGCCCAGGGCACTGTGTGTCAAAGTGGATCGCAACGTGATTTTGCGACCCCCTCTCCACCACTTGAACAAACCGAGCTAGCAGGCCAGGCTGGTGGAGATGCTGCTCCATAATGCGAACACCTAGTGACGGTGAACTATCTGACTGAGCGCGACTGTTCAGACCTGCGACCGCCATCGTTGTGGTGGCTGGCGGGACACCCGGTGCTGACTCCGGACCTAAGTTGCATCTAAATTGGAGTAGCCTCGGTGAGTTGTACTCGTGTTATCTGGTGTATTAGCTCCTCCCCCGCGCTCAATGGTTCTTATTGGCCTAATTAGGAGATAATGCTGTTAGCCTGTTCATGTGATGTCGAGCTTCGGGGAGACGCCATACCACGCCGCTAATGAGTGGCTGTAGGCGTATCGTCGATGGGTAGGTGCGGCTCCCAACAGAAAGGTGGACCGATAATCAGATGAAGTGCCGGGGGCTGTTTTCCATCCAAGACGGAAACATTGTCGACGGCGTGTTAAGCACAGACACTGCCAGTGCGAGGATCGATCCATTGCCTATTGGTTTGCCCGTCCGGTATGTCTGGCGGAGCCACCAGGCCTATCAGAATGGCCAGCATGGCGTTGAAGGCAGGCGACTGGTGTTACCATAAAGGAGTCGAGCGAGAATGGTAGTTTACATTTCCGTCTGTCCCGCGCTATTAACGCATGTACTAGCACACTAATAAGCAACATAGCTACCACTGGAGCTACAGGAGGGAGTCGAATAAGTTCGACGAGGACAACCCTGTCTTCTAGTTGCAGGCAAGCAAGGCGACCTTCCATCCCAATCACTTGCGCCAGAATCGCGAAACTGATTCAGTACACGCAACTTGGCGGTGGAGCTGACTCTGCTTTGTGCGCGTGATTTCAGTTTTGAGACCGCTAACGCGCGGGTTGTGGCATCGATGCTGCAAGTGACGGTGTCATCAAGATCAACCGAACGAAGAGTTGCTTTGCTAGCGGTATGACTGGAAACCTTTGCGTAAAGTGGATACTCTGTTATGCCTCCAACCTATTCAGGAAGCAGGAAGACGTATCCGCCAACTTGGAGCGTAACGCCACGAACCGTGACGAGTGCGAGAGACGACGAGTTGAAAAGAACTAGGTAGGAGCTTCTAGACTTGGGGAGTCGGGCGCAAAATGCAGGATTGATCGGCGAACGATCGGAGTTTCTATCTGTTGTGCTAGAGGCCAACAGTTAAAGCGGTTGGCGCTTGGTAGAGACTTCGAGAGGCGTGCATGCCTCGAGACGAATCTGAACCCTCATCAAACCTCGTAAAAAGCCACTTTCATCGAGCAAGCCCGACAAAAGTCACAGTTCGTAGCATTCATGAAGCATACCGCTGTAACCGCAGCAATACGACACATGATAGTATCGAAAAGCTACGCTGTCCAGCACATCTTGCCAACAACCTTCCGAACGGTTCACATGTAGCTACTTCACCACCTCCAAATGACCATGAATGGCAGCAGTACTCATTGCGATTAGCGTGTAACCATTCAGCAACTTCGAGATGGACGTCAAAAGCCGCTTAGCTTATGGCTCTATCTGTACGTCTCTCGTAGTATTCACGGGAGGAAACAGAACCCTCTTCTCGCGTTTATGTTTCTTTTGTTGGGATGTGTCACCTTGATGGAGGAATCTTAGACCTCTAAATGACCATGACTAGCCTCCATATCCTTAAGTGCGATCGGACTCATTGTCTTCATAAAAGCATACATGTGCTTGGGTATTTTTCTAATGGGAGCTACGTTGCCAATAGTGGCTGACAACATCCAGCCTCCCGAATTTTGCAGCTTCATGTATAAAATTGGACAGATCACAAGATAGATTTACACGAAGTATTGCCAAGTGTGCGGCTATGGCCTCAAGAGCTGCAACGTGGCCATTCTTGCCAACTGCCAGCAGGATCGAGAAATGTTTTACGCCGGGGCTATTATATTCTTATATCACAAAATGAGTTTTGCAACCATCGGGTGAACTTGAGATCTCCCAGTTTCGCTGCTAGCTCCAGTCCCGTCTCAACCAAGTTTTCTGTGTTCCGTGGCCCTGGCTCAGTGAATACCGAACAACTTCCCGGCAAGCCTCCCGCTTTCCTTCGTCATACTTGTCAACGCTTAAAAATTCGGATAGTATATATCCGTTTGAAAACACCCATTTGAGCTGCTTCATACAGCATTGTTATAGTGCAAACCCTGCAAAATTTTCTCCTATTGTTCAGATAGGTTGGTGCATCCAACGCACAACATCCCAGTCTCCTCTCTTTGCTGCTTCAATCAAGGACTGCTTTCCCCATTTGATTCCTCCATGTGATGTATATATTTTTTGGTAATTGCAGCGCCTAGAAGTGACCACCCTCGCAGCCTCTACCACCACTACTTTCTCAACTGGACAGCCCGGGAAACGACTCAGAATCTGCTGTACCATATTCAGATTATCCAAATGAATCGCCTGTACTAGTGTGAGGGGGAACTCCCCAGTTGTAATAGTATGCTTCTCTCTGTAGCAGCTTGGCAATAGTTTATCGACTACTCCTTCGCGTCTCGAAGACTGCTCATCCGAAAGAAATTTGGCAGGGCGAAAGATCCGACGTGACTCAACACGATGGCATGAGAGAGGGAAAATCGGACACGAGGAAGTCTGTAATGACGGCTGCGCTGCTGCCGGGTATATTGTTGGGGAGAACGCGAGTCACGACCTCGAGCCGCACCGGAGTACCTATCATGATTTGAAGTGCAATAAAAAGTGGCAAGATAAACCCCGTACAGAACTGATGCAAGTTGACTTCGACTGAAACAAATAAAATTAGGTCGTCGACGTCGCTGGAAATACACGTCTTTTTACATAGCGAAAGGTACTAGACATAGAAATAAGAGATTCCGTCACGTGCGTAGTAGAATGGACTTAGTACAACATAAGTATCTGTTAGTAGAACCCTTATTCTGCAGGCTCCGCCAAGATACTAGCAGACCAATGGACAATGCCGTGCTTTGCACGGGGAAGCTCTGGATTTTTAAATCATAATTAGAATCTCAGCCTATGTTTTTCGGTGGATTTTTCCAGGTCTCTGATTGGCTGAAATATTACGCCGAGCAGTGCAAGAAGTTGCACTGGTCGGTCCGTTGCTACTAACAATTTTTTTTTTTTTTGGGGGGGGGGGGGCGTGGCGTGTATCATGCCGTCGTGTGTCGAAAATAACCACCGAAGACTCGAATAGCGACTATAGCGGTTGCTCGAACAGTATTCCCCACGCTTGCTTGACAAGTATGCTCGCTGCGTTTGGTGCTAATGGTCAGTTCACGAAGGCTGCCTGCGGCAAGCGCTGTTATAATGCCTTACTGAAAGCCTTACGCTTGGAACCAGTTGCTCCGCCTCCCAAGAAGCAAATTTCGTGGCATAACGACGGACCGGATGCAAGTGTGAGCTCTCTAAGTGCGTTGATCAAGTGGATGACTGACGGGAACAGTTCTCATCGCTATCATGGAGGTGATGGCCAAAGTGGAGAAACGAAGCAAGTACTGGCTGGTGAGGTCATAGCAGCCATTGTTGCTAGTGGTGTGCGTAGCGCGGCCGCATCCTTTCTAGCATGGAGCACAATCTCCATCTTCCGGAGGGCGACTATTATAGACGTGCGCTTGAACGTGGCATCGCGAAGAAACTCTTGATCTGCTGCTGCAAAACCGAAAGGAGGTGGTCAATCGTCTGCCTGTTTGATTGGCTAATAGTATTTTCTCGATGAGGTTTTTGAAAAAAAAAAAAAAAATTTAACTGCTGCGAGCATTGACAACCCCTAATGCTTCCTGCAATAAAAATCTGATTCGTTCTATTACCACCCGGCGTTGACCCCTCGAATAAAGTTTGGGACTTGTGCTGGATGTCAAAAGATTGTTGGACTGTCGGTCTTCAAGGTGTGTGGCTAATTGGAGCCTTTTTTCCTTCTATTTTTTATATTGTTTGTATCCCATAGTACCAGAACATGTTGTTATTCTCTGGATTTTAATCCAGAGTTGTTAGGGTGATCTGATTTTTGAAATGATGGCAAGAGAAAACTATCGATACGGTAGAATCATTTCAGCAGAGCTTAAAGGACTTGAATATTGCAGTATTTACAGCGATTTTTTTTTTTTTACTATTGTTGGCTCTTGTAGTGTCGTTATTACTGTTGCAGCCCTTACAGGCACTTCAATATAATACTGAAATGGGAGGAGCCCTGTTACCTGTCTCCGTAAGGCAGCTGCAACACTTGACTCCATCCCAAATTGTGGTAGTCAAGTCAATTAACCGTAGCAAACACGGACAGTAGTGCTGTTTTAGTACAAATAATAGTTATATTATGTTATATTAAATCATTGCTGGTCTAATTAGTAAAGCTAAAATATTATTCTTACTTCCTCAAAAAAAGTGGAAAAAAAAACTGACTAGCTGCTGCGAGCATTGACAACCCCTATTATTGTAAGCCCAGTTGATTGGGTATAGATTGATATTTTTCAGATACCTTTTCAATACATACATAAAATCTTTACTACTGTAGATTTAGCAAGCTCCGTAGGTTGTTCACGGGCCGAATCAGCCGCAAATGAAACGGCGAATTATGTCAAATCGCGTAGTTTTAGAGATGTTTTGTTCTAGAGTAAAAAATATTTGTAATCTCAGCTTGCCTCTTGCTAGTGCGGTGATCCTGCGGCGAGTGCAAGTAGTCCATGCTTGTGGTGGCCTTCTATTGATCTTTGAGTGTCAATGCTTGCTTCGCAGAAATCAACGGCTCCTGGTGCGATACAATTTGTAAGGGTAAAACTGGGTCAACAGCAAAATGGGGGGAAGAGATACTTCACGATATTTGGAGAGCGGTATCCTGTGAAAAGGTTAAATAAGTTGCCGGTGTGTGGAGTCATATATCTTCAGCAGATACATTGTGCAGTGTTTCAAGTACTTAAATAATGAAAAACGCAGTAAGTCTTCGATGTCCCAGTTTACACAACGAAACCCAATGGACCGATCTTGCGTCATGCACGGCTCTCCACTGCAAGCCCATTTCTTGAAGTAGCTCACTTTACATTTTCAAGATCCACGAAATAGACACGGAGCACCACTGGTATAATATCCTTCTTCCTTATGGTGTACGAGTTAGTTATCAAAATGGTATATCGAGCATCGAAGTACCCACAAATCCGCAATCACATTCATGCCCCTAGAAATGACTGCGTGAGTCCAATGGCCTTGGGATGCGACGGTAGTAAATAATGTGGAGCACCAATAATCTAACCAGAGCAATTGGTTAGTCCTCAAGAAAAAGACAAATTACCAAGCTAGAAACAAATGTTCAGTATCCCCACCTGCTGTCGAAATTCTCCTGGAATTCCGGTCTCCTCAACCATCACCAAACCGTCATTTGGGTAATTGTGCTGATTAAACGGATTAAGACACAAATTTCCCGCAAGTACCAGAGGATAGCATCGTCTTGGGAGTTTCCCCAGCCGCTTGTCCAGTTCCTCAGTACTCAACGTCGCCAGCTCCTCAGCCGCCACACCTCCATATCCTGCCATTCCTACATGTTTCTTCATCGACTTATGGTACCGAATTCTACAACGAAAATAAAAAAAACAGTTAAGACATAGAAAACTTGTTTTCACTAATAGTATCCGTCCTTACCCTCGATTTGGGGGGGCCAGCATCACAATCTTGGACTTGGTGTAGTTCCAGTCAACGGATCGGAACGCTTCCTGTCAAGAATTTCTGAGTAAGAATATCCCGAAATTAAGGTACTCTATACTACCTAACTCACTCGCAGCACCAATGCGCCATATCCATGAGTCACGAAATTAACAGCTTCGTCCGTCGTGTGTGGTTTCTGACTCCTCAAAAATTCGGCCAGCTCTAGACATGCACCAAAGCACATGTCATCCGAAATTAGTGGACATTTCACAGCGGAATCAGATATTCGACCTATCAGATACCTCTGCCCGAAGTGGTGAGATCCTGCGTGCGCGGCTGGAAGCGATAAGGTTGCACGTCGAAGCTGCACACCATATGCAGATAGGTCTCTAGCAGTCGTAGAGGCAGCGCTCCGCCGTACAGGTCGTGCACTGTCACCAGCACGCCCTTCGCCAGCATGGCCCCACGTCGGTCGATTGTTGCGCTAGCCATCACCGTTGATGTGTCCGAAAATAAGCTGAAATCATAGAAATCCTTTCAATTCGATTTATCTCGAATCACCTTTTTAAGGTTCTCTAATTTCGGTAGTATTTTCGATCATTGTCCATTTTTCACACGGAACAAGTTGCCCAACGACCATGAACGCGACGGACCCTGGTGCGCAGAGCGTGCACGGAGTGAACCCGCAGACGCTGGTGGAGAAGATCATGCGTAATCGCATCTACGCCAGTATATACTGGAAGGAGCAGTGCTTCGGTCTCACGGCTGAGACGTTGGTGGATAAGGCCGTAGAGCTCCAAGAGTTTGGAGGCACGTTTGGTGGCAACCAGCAGCCCACGCACTTCCTGTGTCTTTTACTTAAAATGTTGCAGTTGCAGCCCGAGCTGGAGGTCGTGAAGCAGTTTATCGAGAACGAGGACTACAAGTATGTGACGGTATTGGGAGCTGTATACTTGCGGTTGGTGGGCAAACCTCTGGAAGTTTATACGCTGCTAGAGCCACTGCTTAGTGACTACCGCAAGATTCGCAAGCGCAACGTCATCGGCTGGGAGATCACACATGTTGACGAGATTGCCGACGCTCTCCTTCATGAAGAATACTATATTGACTTGGCTCTACCTAGATTGGCGGACAGGGAGCTGCTAGAGAAGAACGAGGGGTTGGCGCCGAGAAGGAGTCCGCTCGAAGACGAACTGGATGCGGATAGCGATAGTAGCAGTAGTGACGAGGATGAGTAAATGAAGTTTGGTGACGATGATCCAGCATTAGATCGATTTTATGAATGTATTCAAAGTTGAACTTACAGCCCCGAGTTCACCGCCATGATCGCCACAGTGGACAAAACAGTGCTACCGGAAAATTCTTTCAAGGCAACAAGAGGGTAGCTGGTATCGATGATCTTACTCATGATAGGCAAAGCAGCTAAAAAAAAACGTCTTACGCATGATATACTTTACTGGTAGATATAAGTTTTGGGACGATATCAAGTGGAAACGATATAAATAATGCAGCTCCGAAAATCCTGGCTCATTCGATTGTTGTTGGCCGGACAGCTCATGCTGTCATTGTCAAACTAAACACTCCTCTTTTTGTACGAATGGTTTATTTCTGTTAGACCTGTACTAATAGCGTAGAGCTTAGTATTGTTTACATCAGAACTGGAGACATACAATCCGTGACTTTAGATCGCACAAATCCATCCTCTTAAGTATTTCCCGAAATAGCTTCGCGTTTCTTCGTATATCGTTGTATCAGGGCGGTCGAGTAGTCCAGGTGACCGATTCTACGTTTGAGCACCGTCACTTCCATATTTTCCACCCATTTGGAAATCAGCGCATTCTGCAAATTTGCGGCCAGTTTTTCCGTTCTTGGGTCTTTTTTCGCCGCATTGAGTAGCGGGGCGAGGTTTGTGGGGTAGTAGATTTTTCGGAGGCAATCAATCATGAGCGGTGGTTGAAGTCGTTCAGATACTTGGCCCAAACCTTAAATTTTGGACTCAAAACGAGAAGGCTTTTATTTATAACAACACACAAACTTTTCACTTTCACCGGAGTGTCTCGAGCTATGGCGTCAATTTTGCCCAAACCAGACTAATCCTGTGGGTGTGAGTACGAGTAGACGGAACGCTACGCCAAGGCCGGGCGTCGACGCCATAGGCGAGCGGTGCGTCGATCGCTTTCACCTCCAGCACGCTGTTGCTTATGCTTCACTATGTCGCTCAACGATGCCCGAGCATCAGGCTTCGATTAGGCTTGCGTGCACGATGATGGCGGGGGAGTCGGGGCTTAGCAAACACTCGAAAGCGACCTCAATCCCTCTTCCCCAGTGTATGTATCGTGATGTCGGATAGTCAAGAAGTACGCGGTGCCTGTGCGTCGCAATACGGCAGTGTTGGCGCACGTTTGTATGTAGATTATATCTTATATTCTAAATACAGACCTTCCTTCCCTTAGTGACTTCGTAAACGCATGAGATCTTGAAGACTTCAACAACTTAAATCACCAATTCCGCATCCGCAATCCGCACGCCACGACACCAGCGCGGGCTTGGTCACATCCGACGTCGACCATGCTAGCAATCCACGGCAGGATACCTGGATCCGAAAACTACTCGAAGGAGGATTTACACATCTTTCTCAACGAGATAGAAAATATTCTACCCACAGGAGCTAATGAGTGGGATGCTGTCTTGAGAAACTATCAAATCTATGCTGAGCGTGAGAGTCGCGCGCTCCGTGTAGCTAGTTAAGCGCTTGAAAGTAAATTGCGAAGTGAGATTCATTTAACAAGAAGTTTCACGGTCTTACTTCCTACTTCTCTTGCCTTACAGGGGAGCAGCACTCGCCACCGAGCAGGACCAACCGTTGGCTTTGATTATGCGGTGCCGCTGTTGACGCGGCAGCACGTAGTCGATTGCGCAGCTCCAATGATGATGCGGTTCTCCAGCTATGTCGGTTGCTGTCGGTAGCGCCTCCGTCGATGCCACCGCCATCGTGTTGCGGCAGCTGACTGCTCACTCAACGCCTCCAGCGCTTCACTCCGCGACGTTAATTCGATGAAGAAGAAGTTCTAGTCCTTATTGAACTCGACTAAGCCAACTGGAAAACCTACTTGTCCAGACAGCGTACGAAGAGCATGCCAAAATCAGCGTGTGCTTGAAGAACGAGTGGAACACGAAGGAAACCTGGACGATGGCGAAGACAGCTAGGGTAACGGCTCAGCGCTTGGTGGACAAGGACCGCCCACAGATAACTTCGGGAATGACGACGACGACGGGGAAGCACGCGGACCGAGTAGCAGAGAGAGTGAGCATAACACAAGCTACAATGGGGTGCGAACACATTCGGGTTCTCGTTAAGCCCCGACTCCCCAGTCCACTCCTCCGGCACAAGTTTTACCGACGGTTGTGGCGTGCCTGTGTCTCGTATACTGTCGAATACCGCCAGACCACCTGCAATTGAAGATATGACGCGATATCAGCACCAGAATGCGACTCCAGTCGAGAGCATTCCAATGGCGTCCCTGCTGAACGACCACCAGTTTGAGCAGGAGCGAGCCGAAGGTCACAGCCCTCAAACGTATCGGTTTTCTACGCCAAAGTAAGGTGGAGACCACGAGCATCCTGTTGAGACAATGCCACAAGCCAATTCAGCGCGTGGCCGTCGCCGATGTGATGAGCGAGACCAGTTACCGGTCTCTCCAGCTCGATCTAATTCCGGTTATCGAGGTCAGTTGGCTCGCGCAATCCACGCTCAAGATGCTCGCTCAAGCACCGCATCAGTACCTGCAAGCTCCCCAAGTGAATCAAGTTGTGGAGCCCAAGTTGCCAAATCCCGCCAACACCAGCGTACGTCATCTAGTGTATCTCGAACTACTACGAGTCGAGCTTCTGAGTCACAGCGTGGACGAACTCAGCGGGGAGGAACTGCTCGTCAACTGGGGGGGGGGGGGGAAGAACTATGGCCGACGCTGTTATCAGCGAGCTCAAAGATCAGAAACATTCTCGTCAAGCGAGTGCAGCCTCCTGATTCAGCTGGACACACTCAAAGAGAAGACACGTATCGATCGACACGATCAGACAAGCTCTATGACAAACTGGGGCGCTTGAAAAGCAAGTGCGCTCGCCTGGAAAAGAAACGCGAAGAAGAACGCGAGAAGAACAAAAACCTGGAGCTTTCTAACACGCGGCTTCACTCAGAGCTAATTGCCATTCGTGGTACAATGCGCGGGGGCTGGAACGAGAGTACTAGTGAATTTTCGTGCTGAAAACTGCGCTTGCATCAAGAAAACGTTGCATTAGTATACGCAGCAGTAGAAGCAGTGCTGACTTTACTCTATTAGTATTTTACTCTAAGCGTTAACAGCATCATTAATGATCCACTCATCGACGCGATAGTATCTGACAATGCGATCGTTGCTCTGGATTTCGCGAAACATCATATGAGCAAAATCTTCATACACCATTGTGCCAGCAGGATCATCACCCCTCCAGATTTTTTCGTACACCGTACGAATTTGGTGGAGACGCATTCAGGACTTAGGAATAACCAATATGTACTTGTGAACATCTAGGGTTCGCATCCCCTATTCTGCTGCTTGTCGAGATGACACAAGTTGAGTATTAAACCTCAACAGGCTCCTATATTCTGCAATGCGTCCTTCTTGTAGTAGTTGTCTCAACAAAGTTGAGTTCTTCTTTAGTGGAGTTTTGATCCGGCCTTGAAGGCGAGCTTCGTTCCGAGGGAAGGCGGTGTCAGCTATGGCGAAGAAGCCGCCGGGTGTGCGATAGAGAAGTTTGCCATACAAATGACGAGCTACTGCAGCGTCGCATGTAGACTGCAGAAGATGAGGCATCCATCTGGAGCAAAGGCCATGATACTCGAGCAGTAGTGACTGCACGTCCATCCGTTGTAGTATGCGTTCTCAACGTCACCATCGCTTGAGGCAGCCACCGGAATATTGAGGCCGTCCACAAAACAAAACCCGTTTTGGATGAGCGGATGCCGAAGCTTGATTATCTCTGCGTAATCAATGAAGCTGGCTTCGTTATTTGGCCAGCGAATGCTTGCTTCTGGCATTGCTACAAGAACTCCGTCAAGAATCTGTTGGGAAAATATTAGTTAGCGACTGCACACCGACGGAGTCACCGCAAAAATTTCTTGAAGTGAATGCTCGGGCATCGACGAGCAGAGATGATGTAGCACAAGTGATAGTGCTGCTGCAGGGGAAAGTGATCGTCGGTCCGGCCTGGGATCACCCACGTCGTCGACGTCTGGCCTTGGTATTGGAGGCGTTCTATCTGTTCACACCAGCAATATTAGTCAGAACCTCAGCAATTTTGATGTCGTTGCTGAGGAAACCTCGGTTCAAATCTCTCCAGAAGATAGTGAAACGTTTACACGTCAAACCCAGTAGTTTTAATAAAGACTTTGTCATTTCGAGCACTATAAATGGTCTCCCGGGCGGTTCCAATTCCTGGGTGAGGGTGGAGATCAACCCTAGTGAGAGGTTTGTCGTAAATGCCCCGGAATCTCCCGACACCGTTTGCGACCGCTTGTCACCGTTTGTGACCGCTTGCCACCGTTTTAGTTTCTATAAAACGTTTCGAGTCCCCGCTCAAATCCAAAAAATCAACTCGAACCTTCTATACAAAACTTAAGTCAGTGTGAATGTACAGTACTATGTCGCCTGTGTATTCAAATATTATAATCTAAGCTCAAGCTTGAGACCGAAAGAAGGCCTGAATATTAGAGCTACTCGTCTTCTGTAAGCGCTCACACTTGTCGTTTTGAGTTGCATCACCACATCGCTTCCTCTTTTTCCGACAGCTTTCACAAGCTGTCACTTTTGTTGACTTCGGTAAAGCAACTGCAACCGGAACGAGGCTACTGGTAGGATTATCATCTTCAGCACGAACACGCTTTCGAGACCGGTCCTTTTTTACTTTCAGTCGACACCTCAGTGAGTTAGCATTAATATCGCTGTCTGGACATTTCTCGCGAAATAATTGTAGCATCTCGGTCCACTTGTCTGGTGCTCGTGGCATGGTTGCAGCCAGATTTCTGAAGTAAATAAGGTCTTCGGGAGTAATTTTGGTATGTCTTCGAGTTGGAATTTGGGAAGCACGAGGTGTATCGCTCATGGATGGCTTTTCGGTTGTAGATTCACAAATGGTCACATTCTGAGAAGTAGTTGGAGCTGCTTTTGTACCCGAGGATGAAGATTTGAGCAATTCTGCGAGAGTAAAAACTGGAGATAGTTGAATCTCTCTACTGGTATCACTGCAAATGGGTTCAGTACTTGCCAAACCTAGTTGGTGTTGAGGTATTTGTGAGCTGAGGGTAGAATTTCCAGGATTTTTGTCACGTCTGGTAGCATCGTCACTTAATGCAGTCGTATTCGAAGTCAAGATTGATGTTGGTGGTGATGATTCGACTGTTTCAGCATTTCCAGCTCCGTTTTCAAACTCAGAGAGCAACGAGCAGCTTGAGTACGAGGATAGCAGAGACACGAAGCTGCTATTTGCACTCTTCTTCTCCAGTTCATTAACGGGAAGCACTTGCGAGCTAACAGGGTTACTAGTTGGACGTTGTGGCTTAATCTTCGGCTCTCGGCCATTGTTTTTAGCGTTTTTTATCGCTGCCCATTTTCTTCTAAGCGATTCCTCGGCTTTTGGGAAGATACCGTCACATACTCGGCTCGCAAAGTCGTATACTCGGACGAAGACGAGTATACTCTGTTTTTGATTAGCTTCGTGCTTCGTAATGCCTCGAAGAGATCAATCATAAGTTTTTGCTCACTAGTGTTGTCCGTAGTGGTTATTTGGCGACCAGATTCAAAACAGAACAACGAGACCCTCTTTGAGTCAGCTTTTCCTGATCGATATGCATTTGTATCTTCTGAATCTTCCATCCGCTTCAGTTTTCTCACGATAGTCGAATAGCTCCGCCTGTGGAGATGAAAGGAAGCGTTCGTGTTGCTATCGACGGCTATATTGAAGAGAATTGTAGTAACCAAGAGACAGACCCCCCAAGCTGCTCCATCACGGGCCTGCTCATACTTAACTTGACGTAAAAGCTCATACTCCTCCAGGGAAAAGTCTGACGAAGACTCGTACGACGTCTCTGTGAGCTGCAACGACGAAAAGAAGGCTCTATTGTGAAGCC